AACCAATGTTACCCCAATAAATTTAAGAAACACGTTTACTGACTTCAAAAAAGAATTAATTAAAAACTAAGCATCCAAATTCAGTTCTAATTCAGGAAGAAGAAAACTGACTCTTTCAGAGTGGCATTTCGGTGAGCCGTGTTTGAAGTCCTGTAACGGACTGTCCCAGGTGAAGGAAGGGGCGTCAGTGGGGCCTGGACGAGGAAGCCGGGTGTGTCTGGAACGTGGGTGTCCGGCAGGAGCGGGGCGCAGAGCGGGGCGCAGACCAGGGCCAGGTCAGCAGCCTGCTGATTGTGAAGGGTTTGTGGGCCGTGCCAAGGACAGTGCGAAGCAGCTAAAAGATTCTGAGCCCAGGGAGGCAACTTTATCGAAATCGCATTTATAAAAAAGCTTCCTGGTGACTGGCAGAAAATGATCTAAGGGGAGAAAACCCGAAGGCGGGAAACTAGCAAAGATTTGCACAAACCCGGAGGCGATCACTAGGCCAGGTGGGGATGAGGATAAGTGGGTAGCTTCGAAGAAGTGAATTTTACTGAATTTCGTCGTTGATCGAACGTGGAGGGTGAGCGAAGTGTGCCGAAGACCCGTGAATAAGGCAGGAAAAAATCATGGAGTTTGAACACCAAAGGACCACAGCGGGTCTTTCAAAAAGGTCAATAGCATCCGATGCTGCTCAGAGTCAAGAAAGACAAAGACTGAAATTTAGAAATATGGGGGGCATTACCGTCCTTAGAGAAAGCCCCTTAGACACAGTGGGCGCCAATGCCATATTAGACTGGGTCGAAAAGAGAAGAAATGAAGAATTGGAAAGAGCAAAGGCAGACAGCTCATTCGGCAGGGTGTACATACTAGTCCCCCTCTCTCAAATGCCCTCCCTCCCCGTTCCTACTGGGTAAAATCTTCACCCATTGCAGCACTGGGCTGAAGTGAAGGGGATTTATAAATAAACAAACAGAAATCCAAGGAATATATATATTTTTTTCCAGAAGCAAATTCAGCCAGGGCTGGAAGTCAGGAAGTGAGTGACTTATTCCATGCTCACCAGACAAAAACTTTCGACCAATAAAGAGGCCTGTACGCTCTCTGGTGCCAGTGTGGGGGTGTCGGTCAACATGACGCCAAGAATGTGATGCAATTCTTAAGAACAGGAAGAGGTTTAGCCGGAATGGAAAGAGGACCCGGACTTGGGGGTGGCGGTCGACAGGGTGGAGTGGGAAAAGGAGTGTTTTTAATTTTTTTCAAGAGCAGAGCCAGAAACGAACTGACAAAAGCGGAAGGAATTGAAAAACTATAACCGAATGTCTTTCTACCCACTCTCTGTAGCAAAGCAGACAGAAAAGCCTCAGATTCAGGACTGGCTCTTTTATCATTTATCAGGAGAGAGAAAACACCGGCCCCTCGAGACTCTCCTGAAACACGGGGCATCTCCCTGCATTTTTCTCTTCAAGCCAAGAGCGGCTGTTCTGGGTACAGGTGAGAAATTTGATCTGTAAGCAAGGACAATGGCTGTCAACCTCAGGAAAGCACGTACGCGGGCACCTCATTCGTACGCTGTTAGAAACAGCTCAAATGTTCGCCGCTGATGTTCTCACAAGGTGTAGGAGCGCAAGAATATTTTCGAACTCATTTGAATAACGAAAGAATAAGAAAGATTACACAGAGACAGTGTTTGCTCTAAACGACACAGATTCTCTATGACATATTTTTAGATACTTTGAGGAATCATTCTTTGGACTTAGCTAGGCGTCTGAAATGGAGAGAATCAGGCCCGTACGACTTACTTTCCATTAACTAAAACAGTTATTTAAAAGCTGGTGTTATGTGAGATCTAAAAATCTGAGGTTCAATGGAAGAACATGGCTAGGGGTTTCCAGTCAAATCATAAACATGAGATTAAAGGAACAGCCCAAATTATTTTCTTGAGAGGAGATGGAAAAGTCAAAATATTATTTGAAATTAGTGAATGTTTGTTACGGTGTTTATGATAATAGGATTTGCCTTGTCTGTCACTTAGAGACCATCATTTTTTAAAGAGGCTGTTCCCTTTCCAGTATCCTTGCTTTTCTCTCATGGAAATGCTACTTTTAAAAAAAAAAAAAAAAAAAGCCCTTAGAGAAAGTAGCCAAGAGCCTTTGGACTGGAGTTTTGCTGCCCTCTGCTGGGAACACTAAGTCATGGCCTGAGGAATGGGCCACGCTAAAGGATCCTAAACACCGCCCCATGGCCAGACCAGGGCACGGCCCCGCCCGGAGTAAAATAATTACAGAACTGGGCTGCTAGTTTCCAGAACGGGCAGGCTTGCACTGGTCACAAGTGTTTTCCTTGGACAGTCAGAACGGTAATAACAGCGATACCGTGTGGAGGTTCACGTCACAGTTCATAAAACGCTCACAATCATTATTGCATTTGTTACCTCCTTTCATTCTCCAACGATCCACTGAAATAGCCGTAACAGGTACCATCCCCATGGACAACTGAGGCGTGGTGACTAAATAACTTACCTCAGGTCTCGCAGCTGCAGAGGGGCAAGCTGGGTCGAGAAGCCAAGTCTCCTGACTCCCCCGTTTAGTGCTTTCTCCCTTTACTTCCACAAACCACTGCGGCACGTGATGCCAGTGATTTGTCTCTGTTGCAGCTTCTCGTACATCTCCATCCTTCTTCAGCAATGTCCATTTTACATTATCGTGTTCACCTAATTGATGAAAACAAACACGCTGCTTTGCATATGATTCGGGCAAGGCTATCTATACTGCTAGCGAAAACAACAAGAACAAATATATTTAAATAAATCCCACGAGCAAATGGATGGACCACAGCAGAACTTCTCAAACGTTTACTTAGTTCTTTAGTGGCTTTTCCAAAAATCTTTGGCAAATAGTTTTGTAATATTAAGTCCCAACTCTGCTACCGGGGAAAACTGTGTTTGAGAGATGAAAGTAGAGCGTAAAGATGAAAAAAAGTCAAGAGAAAACAATTTGAGAGTCAAGGTATTTTATTTTAAAGTTCCAAGTGTGCGAATAAACATCCCAATCCAAGTGGACAAACAAAAGGCGTACGAATTGCTATGCTCTTGTCTTTACTTCCGTAGGTCTCACCCCTACCCCCTGCGCATCCAGCCCAATGAACCTCATTGTCCACCTGCACTCCTCACAAGGGACCCGTTAGGAGAAGTCTGGCCGGAGCAAACTGCCATCATTTGGTCAAAACTAAGGCTTACACCAGTTTAACTTTAGCATGGTTAAAATACGTCTTACTTTACATGGCACATTGGTCAAGGCATTTATCATTGAACCGGAGTCACTTTTTCAGATGTCAGATTGGTAAGGAGTGACATGAAAAGCTAACTTACTCTAATCCACACAACATAAAAGCGACCACAGATATGACGGCTCTGGTCAACAGGAAACCTTTCCAGATCAACGTCTGCCAGTCTGTTTGACGTTGTTTGTCTTCGAGTCTAATCTGTCTCCATGCCTGAACTGCCTCCTTCTTCACCCTACTTTTCAGCTGTTTCTGCCCTAAAGAATCTATTTATTTCATTTGCTGTATCATCTTTCTTCCTCTTACCTGGTGTGGTCACTATGGAGAGCTAGGACAGCATCTTCCTGTTGGTCCTCTTTGGCTTCGAGTTTTTAACGTACCTCTTTCCTTTCCCATTCCCGTTGGGCCTATACCATTTTACTCCACTTTTTCTCCTTCCATTCAAAGTATATGTACATCCCTGGCTTACAGAACAGTCCAGTTCCAGAAAACGTGTGCACACATTTTTGTAAGTCGACGCACTCATTCTGCAAATATTTGCTGAGTCCCTCCAACATGCCAGTCATCAAACTGAGTGCCAAGGATTCAGACACATAAACACAATAGAATTGGTCTTTACCTCGGGGACCTTACACGGTATATAGCCGAAGAGTCAAATAAGGACACACCGACGGCTATTTGAAATCAGTCGGTTCTATGCTGATAAGAACAAGTTGTCAAGTGAGGAAGAAATTATAATTTCTCTCAGGCTGGAGGGAAGGAGGGTGAGGATGTTAGGACAGTTTTACAGAGACAGAGCTGTCTTTGAAAGGTGAGAACTTCAGGAGGTTGAAAGTGAAAAGGATAGGGGTAAGGCGCACAAAAGCATGTCCTGGAGAGAAGGTACCTGAGCCAAGGCTCAAGGTTAAGTGCTCGACTGGTCAGAGGCTGGATGATTTTGTGTGGCTGGAACACGAGGTGGTAGCAGATGAGTCTGGAATGGTACAAAGGGTCAGACTGTGGGAGGCAGACTGAGGACGTGATCCTTTATCATAAAAAGACGGGGCGCGATTAGCTCTTTAAGAAGACTTCTGGCGTTAACATGACAGTATCGGGTTGAAAGAGGAACGTGGGTAAGGTAAGCAGTGCGGGGGCTACGTCGGCCAGGACGCCTCGTTAATGCGAGCGCGAGTCCAAGGGCAAAGGGAAAGGGAGTGATGGATGAGAAACTTTTGGTATCCAGCGAAAACAGATTCTGGTTAACAGCTGAGAAGTGGAAGGAGAAAACGTGGGAGTCAAATGCAGTTCACAACTTGTAGCTCAGGTAAAGGGGATGGCAGGTGATGCCCCCAAATTGCAATACAGTGGGAAGCACAGGTTAGGTCTTACCTTTGAGAGTAATGGGATGGAGAGGTTTTAGATGCACTTAAGTATTTAAGAATATTCAAACACAGATATCCAACAAGCAGCAAAAATATTTAGGCCTGGACCTCAAGTTTGAAGATAGGTATACTCTGGAGTTATCAATAATACAAGTGTTAGTGGAAGCCCAAATATAGAAGACAAACCAGAGGAGCTTGTTTTTGAAGAATTCTTGCAATGTTTGATTTTTTATAAAGGGATTCCTTAAAGCAGGGGCATATCTGTATTTTTAGCAAGAGATCACACTATGCTATCTTTTATCAATAAAAGATAAATTAAGATTAAAAAACAAAGAGTAAATGTAACCGTTGATTTGAAGCTCTTGCTTACAGAAGCAAACCTGAAGCATCACATTAACTCCTCAGTAAAGACAGCATCTAGGGAAATGAAGTAAAATGAAAAGGGATAAGACCAGTGAGAGAGAACAGTGGGGGGAAGAAAGAGAATGGGCGAAAGGATTAGGAAGGGGAGATTTATTTTCAAAAATTGCTTTGCTAAACCTTGTTGAAAAAGATGTAGAAAAAATGTTGAATTAAGATCAAATGAAAAAGTCAAACCAAGAATGATAAAGGACAAACAAGAACTCGAGGCAAAAAACAAACAACAAAAAACAAACAAACAAACAAAAAACATTAAAAAGGAATACAGGGAGAAATGACAGAAAAGTTAAAATAATATATGACTTTCCCAAAAGGAAGCTAACTAGTCACTTGACAGGACAAAGCGCCATGGCAGTGCTTAAGACAAACATGTCTACAGGATTATTCTGGAGTAGTGAACACTACAATGTGCCGGCCAGGTGGGCGTCTAGCAGTCCTGGATTTGAACCTGAGTACTCCGACTCGCTAGGTGGCCTGGGGCAAGCTGGGAAAAGGGTTATGAGGATTGTAATAATACATGTAAAATGCCTAATACACAGTGCTCAAATAAAGGTTATGGGAGGAAAACAATTTTTTTTTCTAATCAAAAATATGGATTCAGTTATAGCACTTGAAATAAACTTTATTAGAACCAAGCTATTGAATTGCTTGAGATTGTTTTTATACTGCTGGGTCAAGCTTCTCTGTAATGAACGGAAAAGGATGTGAGACTCGATTTGCCCTTTCTATCTCGAACTGTCACACATGCTATACATTCTCCTTTGGGGACCTGTGCAAGCTATTTGGTTCGAGCAGTTAACGTGCAATCACAGTGACACCTGTGCAGCCGCGGCTCTTTCCTTTCTCGCTGAGCTTCTGCGAAGCCAGGTGGAGTTGCCAGCTCTGCTGAATATTCTAACCAAAGAGCCGTAATTGTGTGGCCACCGACGTTCAAGTCCTTAGTCATGGAAACTAAGATGGCATTTAAATTCCGAGATGTCTTCTTTTGTGTACATCACTAATAATGTGTGTACAGAAATAATTATCCATTTGTCTGAACTTGCTTTTGCAAGACTTCCTAATAAAAGCAGAAAATATAAATTTTAAGATCCTTAAATGTGATTTTGAGGAACTGAGACCAAAATTTTTTTCTGTACAACCAGACTTCTAAATATACTATAGAAAATATGGTAGAATTTTTTTTTTTTTTTTTTTGTACACAATCTTTCAAGAACGCATCTCATCCACAGTTAGTTCAAACTGTAGAATTCTTCCAATTCACCAGTTCTGGACAGTTTTCAAGGCTTCTGGGTACTTACCTTTGAGTTCTACCTCCTACATATCTGGGGATCTTAAGTGGGGGACCATGGGCCACGAGGTCATGAGCAGGCTACGTGGAGTTCTTGGATTCCCTGGCAGAGAGTGTGACACTTGATACGTGTGTACGCTTGAATGTTTTTCTGGGTAAAGACACAGACCCTTTATCAGATTTTTAAAGGTTTTCCAAAAAGCTTAAGAACCACTGTTAGACATTTAAATGAACAGATGTATATATAATTTGCTAAATTTTGCTACATTTTAACATCCATGAAATTTATTAAAGCACATAAGGAAACCGTGTTACAACAACTAGAAAAACTACTTGTAAGAGTAGCTCTACATTTTCACTTCCTGGTAATTCACACGATCTTAACCCACTGTGATCCGACGTCTATCCCCACGTCTCTGGAATTACCTCTGCCTGTATGATTAAGTTCCTATTTGTTAAATTCAAAGTACCTTTTTGGGTACTCATTTATCTGACCTCTTGGTGGCACATAGAAGAGCAGACTGATTTGAACCTGCCTAGGTTCAAACCTCAGCTCCATCGCTTCCCAGCTCTGCGACCCTGGACAAATCAGTGAAGTCTTCTGTGCCAGAGCGGTAGCCTTCGTAAAGTTTCTTCATCCATATCACGTGAACAGTACTCACTTCAAAACGTCAACATGAGAATTAAATAAGCTAACAGAGCATCATGTAAACAGTAGTTATTTGGTATCTGGAATAACTCCTTTCTTGAAAATCACTTGAACCCTGTCTCCTATGTCTTATTAGTTATTTGGTATCTGGAATACTCTTCTTGAAAATCACTTGAACCCTGTCTCCTATGTCTCGTTCTACCTTTGATGACTTTTCAGTTCCACCTTCCTACTTCCAAGCTTATCCCCCTGTAATACATCCTTTACGCTACGGTCACAACGGCCATTTGAAAACTATAAATCTGACGTCATCTCTTGCCACTGACATTAGTGTGGTCTAAGCTCCTCAGCACGATAGACAAGACTTTATGACAGTCGCCTCGCCTGGCTCTTCCTCCAGTCTCAAATGCCTACACTTACCCTCGGGTTATGTTGAGCCAAGCTAATTACAATCCCCCAAACATGCCTTATTCTTTTAACTCGTGACTTTGTACAAGCCACTGACTCCGTCTAGAATACCCCATTTGCCTCTTCTTATCACATTCCCTCCCAAATTAGGTGTCCTTTCCCAGTGTGTCCCCCAAAACCCTGGACAGTGCTTATGGCATTATATTTCAGAGGCCTGTTTGGCTGCCGATACATTTCATCTTCGTTTCCCACCATCTCCAGTAAAGAACAGAAGCAGCAGCCGTATTATGACTGTTTTTTCTCTCATTTTGCTACCATCGTAACCTTAAACCGTTTTCCTATTCCTTTGTCATTCCATACCCCGCCTTCTCCTTTTTTAATTAACCCACTGAGGTTAGGTAGAAATACACCTGGAAGGACATGTGTGCATAAATAAACTAGGTAACAAAACTTCACACTGAAGGAAACATTCTAGAAGTATTTATTTCATTGCTGGCCACTTGGTTACAGCATGCAACTCTCGACAACGAGCTGCCACGCTCCCTGTGCCAGGAGCACCGGACGCTAGGGCGCCACTGCTCAGGTTTTCCCCCTTTCGAAGGCTCGCGTTACCACCATCATTACTCAGGGACAAGCCTTTGGGACCGAAAAGCACTTATTCTCTATAAAAAGTAATTTCATATTCCATGCACAAAATGCCAACTGGCACATTTAGGTCCAAAATGGAAAGACAAAAATTTTATTCTAGTTCTGTAAATTATCAGGAATAAAAGTGTTTCTCCTTGCCTTGTTAGAAGGAAATAGAATTTTTTTTTTCCTCTATCAGGAATCAGGACAGTAGATTTGATGACCCCACAGCATTATAAAATTGCTCACTGGTTGGAGTTTTTTCAGGATGTTAAGAAGTAAGAAGTTGGCTCATTTTCCTGTACAATTTAAAGAAATATTTTCAGTATATGTAGGAGTTATAGGTCATAGCGCAGACCCTTGTGACATATCTAAAAGGCCTATCCTCGCATTTTAAAAATTCTGTCTCAGAAGGTACAAGGAAATCCCCATTATCCCTGAGCAAAAAGGGGACAATCGCAGGTCCTTTTATTTGTGAACAGAAGCCACTGTAAATGAGTTCTCTATGTCTAGAACATTCTCAGAGAACTTCTACAAACTGAAGCAGGTGTGGGGTGCTCTGAGAGACGTTCCGGGTAAACGTATTTAGTAGTTTTTGTCACTCTGCAAAAACTTAAATGTAATGAACTACACAGCTGAACGTTCTCCATTTTGAAATCTGAGACTGTCCTGAGAGGACACTTAAGGGACATGAAACTATTGGGCACAAGAGTTTTTAAATTGTTAGCAAATTGAGGCAGGAGGAAAGAGAGTGGGGGAAACGAGCGGGGACAGTGAGGAAGGGGAGGGACAAAGCCGCAGTCACGGTCTGTTCTCATTGAGTCAGGGGCCTCTGGCTATCTGTGTACTATCCTCCCTCTTTAATTAACACACATCAGATGCTGAAAATAAAGACTGTCCCAAACTAACTTAAGTCTTTTAAGGAATAAATGACAGAAAACATTTTAGCTTCTTAATCAAGGAGTGCTATAATATAATTTCAAGGCATCTTAATATAATTAATTTAACCCTAAAGCAATTGTGCAATAAGCAAAATACAAAAGGGGAACAAAGGTTAACTTCCTATCGGGGCCAAGAGACAAGATCTTTGCAGCACACACAGCAATGAACCTTCACATGCTGGAGTCTTGTTGAAAAGGCCATCGAAAACTCAGATTACGGAAAATCACAAATGTCGCTGACAAAAGGAATGTTGATTAGATCGTCAAAAACTTCCCAAAGGGCTTCCTTCTCTGAAGGAATTTCAGACTGCTGCTAGCACAGGTTGGTTAACCCCAATCTCACTGATGGCTCTGTTAGAGGATGAAGATGCCCCAGTAAGTGCAGCTTTAAAAAAATGTAAAACACTAGGAGAGGAAAAAACAAAATGCAACGACCTACTGTTCCCTAACGTACATACGGCTTAGCACCCAGAGAAAGCGTCTGCCCCCAAAAGAGACTTTCTACATGGGGTTAAGCTGCATGAAAGGAGGTGTGACCTTTCATTTTCAGGATGTGTCTTTTCTCGCAAGGTCTTTAGAGGCGGAAGTTCCAGTTGGATTCTAATACATATCTCTGTGAGCTCGGTTTCCCGAAAACATACACCTGTCAGGTTCTACGTTCTCCCTTGCCAGTGACTGGATTCGCGACTTCACAGCCACCAGAATCGCACATACACTATCAACATGATGAAAAACACGGCCACGGCTGCGAGTTTGGCGTAAGTGGAACGCATGTTCAAGTACTTCGCATCCTGGCGGTATTTCTTGGACAGACTGGACAAATTGTTAGCCTTTGAATCCAATGCTGTCAGAGGAGAAAAAAGGAAAACGTTAATTAGTCCCTGGGAATTTACCAAATGTATTAAGCCATAAAAGTAACCAAAATGAGTGGCACTATGCGAAACAACCATGAAGCTTAAATTACATCGCTTTTAAGGGTAAAAGGTTGTTATGTACTGATTAACTCACAAGCCCAAAGTTCTGTAAAATCTACAGTGCATTAAAAATGATCAGACCAAACTAGGTTCAAATCTTTGAGGCTGTACAGTGAGGTGGTTGAGAGCACAGGTTCTGGCCTCGGGCTCTTTGGTTCAAATCTCAGCTGCACCAGCCACGAGACGTTGGTCAACTCGGTCCCTCTAAAGACCCAGTTTCCTCATCTACGAGATGGAGATAACGACAGTAACTATGTCAGGGAGCAAGCACACACGAGAACGCCTGGAACGTGAGCACAGCACCGGCACATGGTAAACATCTGATGTAAGCCGACATTAATCATCTTCACAATCTTTCAAGGGTCTAAATTATATTCTCTCAGATTCTGAAACATAATAATCCATGTAAAATAAGACTCAGGGAATCAGAAAATTCAGTGAACCAGACACTGGGTGATAAGCTGTATCTCAATGGTGACTGCTGCCAATTTTCTAAAATTCTCCACATAGGACAGACTATTAGGAAGCTAAAGCTATCAGAAATTATATTTCAACAGACATGAAAAAGCTGTAACTAAAATATAATAACAGATACTAGAAAACCACCAATATCTACCAAATTAAGCTTTTTAGAATCTTAGTTTTTTCCCACAAGGACGTTTGCAATGTTGTAATCTTCTTATAATTGTTCACTGAGCCCTTACAGGAACAGCCAGATGGACACAAGATAGACTGGACTAAAATATATGGTCCATTTTAATAATAAAAACAAGCTCTCGGTTTGACATAAATGAATTCTAATCACACTGTTTAGTCCTTTAAATTTTTGAAAAACTATTTTGTTTTCCTTAGGGAATGCTCTGGAATATCTGGAGTTGCCTAACAGAGACTGGTTTTGATTAAGAAATGTGGCATTACTTAATAACACAGGCATGATGGGCCACTTCTCAGTGAGTGACTTGGCTTGTGAGTAAGAAAAACACCTCGTCACGTAAAGAAACAGTGAGGGGGTGAGGAAGAACCATGGCGACGCTGCGGGACACCTGGAGCCAGTTCCCTGGAGCGTACAGTCCGCCGGACAGAGGTTTGTAACTGCTGTTGACCGTGCAGCCCCGCTGCCCAGAACAAGGTCTGACATACAGTCAGTGCTCGATAAATAAATATTTGCTAAATGAATCTAAATCCACTGAGAAAAACTGGTCAGAGGAACAAGTATCAGGTCACATGAAGTAAGTAATAGTTAAGAGAATTCCTTTACATAGGAACACTTAGAAACACGTGATACCGTAAAGACAAAGCCACTGCTTGGAGAAGTCATTCGGCATATATTTATGTTATAGGCAACATGTAAAGTGCTAGAGGATACAACGATGGTCAAAATGTACATGACCCCTATATTTGTGGAATCTACAGTCTGGTAAGGTGACATCTTTGAATGAAAAGACAAAACTGTGGCTTAAAAAAACAGGTATATGTTGGCAGGAAAATAAGGGCATAATTTGATGTTGCTGAAAGAACCTATAGGGATTATTCTTGGGTCTTAAATGCAAAGTAGACTAGCTATAAAACTTTAAAAATCTGAAGGAGAAGCAGCGATGAAACATGGATTCTTATTACGAAGAAGCTTATTTAAAGAGGAAGAAAACGTTTTTTTGAGGTAGGCTAATCTTTTCACTGTCTTTCACATATGCTCTGATCAGATATATCTTCTCTTAAAATACCACTCTTCACTCCTTCCTGATGTATCAAATTTCAAGAACTCTTTCCTGTTCACTTCACATTTATCTACTTACTTCTGCATGTTGATAGCTCTCACTCTCTATAGATCTATTTAAAACTATCATACACTGAAGACAGACAAGGTCTCGTAGGCCAACAAATTCTGCCAGGCACTGGCAGCGTGACTTTTAGCAAGCTACTTCACTTTTCTGAGTCTCTGCCTCTTTATCTATAAAGCTGGTTTGATACTGCCCACTTCACATGGGATTATTTTAAAGAATAAGTAAGATATATATGTAAAGTCTCCCTACCATATTGCTTGCTTAGCACAAAGTAAGGGTCCAATTGATGTTTGTTCCCTTATACCATCTATCAATTACTCTGTGACTATGTTTCTTATCTTCTCAATCAGATGAAGTTACTAAAGGGTAGAAAAGTACCTCTTGTTCACTCAGTATATCAGCTTTGCAGCAACCAGCAAAGCACTAGGTGAGAATCCTTCACATTTTTGATAAACTGACCAATATATAAATTTTGGATTAAAAAAAAAAAAATCCTGTACTGGTTTACTTTATCCCAGGTAGAAACTGTAAGTCTGTTGTGATGAAAATTTATACAGACTCTCTCACCCAAAATTTGATGTTTAGAGAGTATGAAGCTATATGCTGAATGACGGCTATCGACAAAAAGGTTAAAATTCGCAGTATATAGTAAAGAAAAAATCCATTTATTCATGAATATGTAGTGAGGTTCAATTCAAGAAATAGTCATTAAGGCATCTACCTGTAATCAGTACTGTGAGAGAAATAAAAAGTATACGAAATAGATATGAAACACATAAGCACTACCCTTAAAGAGTACATGTCCACATTAAACACTCAGTAACATTTCAGTATTAGGTCAGTATCTATTTTTTTCACATAAATTAGGTAAATAAGTACACACATGCATACATGTGCGCACGCACAACTCACACCATTATGTACTACACACACACACACGTACATACACACACATACCATTATGTGCTAAAAAACATTGGCGCTAAGTGCTTTAAGAGTTTGAAGGATAAAAGATCTGTGTGATGTGGGCCGTAAGAATCAGGAAAGGCTTCTTGGAAGAGGCAGTTCTCATCTAGATTTTAAAGAACAGGTTTAAGATGGTGAGGAAGTCGACCTGGGAGCCAGAATGTTTGTGAACTGGGGAGAATGAGGGCGTTTGTCATCTCTTTATCTGCCATTAAGAAGAACACAATGCCTTGCACTCAACAATAACGACCGAACGAATGAAAAGCACGTTGAGACCAGACTAGATCTTTTCCTGCAGTCACAGGTTTTCAGAGCTTTCCAGCAGAAGAATGCCTTGATGAAAATGGCATCTTATAACATTTGATCTGGCAGCAGTCAGGTCTCCCAAAGTGGCTGCTCAGGAAACACTGCGATCGACGATTTCTGTAAATATTTCCTTAATTTTGTCAATCTTTTGGAAACAGTAATTGCTTCTGATATGGGATGAGACCTTTATACTGTGCCAACTCAACGAAAACTAATCATGCTATGAAAAACCGAGTCATGTTAGAAGCTTTGTAACGTCATCTCGTCTGAGATGAAGTCTGAGAGTGTTTGACAGAGCCTGACAGCATCAAGGCACCCCGTACCCCAGCAAGCCCCCCTTGCCTTTGGCACGGGAACCACCCTTCGTAAGGCTCACACTGCTTTTAGGCACCTGAGAGCGCTTCCCCTCGCTGGAGCACTTCTTCGATGTTGGCCACCATGATCCTCTGCACGTCCTGCAGCTCAGTGTTGATGGAGCCTAGGTTCCTCCGGGCACGACTGTCAATGTAGAGCTTCTTGGTTTTCTGAATGTAGGTATCTAGAAGGAGGAAGAAAAGTCACCATCAAATCCATCAAAGAACCGAGGCAGAACAGAAGTTCGGAGTTTAGTCCTGGATTGCAATCCTCCATGGTTAACCACCTCTTGAATGAGAATCTAAATGTGGTTTCTTTGTGTAAAGATATAACAAGATGACCATTCAGGAGAAACGTCCTTTGCACACCTTCGAATTAGAAGTAACTGCTATTGGGACCCTTAGAGAAATTAAGACCCACTGCAGTAAGCCTGTTCTGAAAGCAGAAATTCTCGAACTGCATCCCATGGACCTTTAGGGTTTCATTATTTATCTCCCGAAAAGGACCAATCTAGCTGGCACCAATCTAGCACTTTTACAGCCTAATATGGCAAAAGTGTTATTCTATCATTAAAAAGTTGAAAGAAATTATCCTAAAGTATTTTTTTTAACATATACTCCCAATTTCACTCTGTTCATAAACTTCAGGTAAAACAAACATGTGACAGGGAGTCTCCCAAAATACCACTATAAAACTGCAGTCTTAGTCATGGTTAATCCATGTCCCTATTTCTTAGAACTGTGAGAAGAATGACTTACTGTTAAAGATTATATTCTCAACATTTGGAATAATCTTAAATTACAGGTGCTGGATGCCTTCCATTTGCCACTTTAGATCTCCTCTCCACCCTGCTGCGCCAGCTCTGGCCTTGGGAAGCTGACCTGCATGGACCACATCAATGCGCTTCCTGCCCCTCAGCTTCCCATTAGGTTCAGCCAATGGGGAGCCC